AGATGACAGAATTTGCCTTGTGTTACTCCAGCCTTGTTTCAAATTGTATGATTGCATTCTGTATAATTGTATTTTCCTTCTGTTTTCAGTTCAGCTCAGTATTTATTATTTCCTTACCTTTTTATGCAGCCTTTGTATTTAAGGAGTCTGTAATTTTGTTATATGCCTTGTATGGGTAATACTTTCCTTGAGTTAAAACAATGGTTTTATCTATAGCAATGTATCATACTCATTCGTATTAGACTAAGAATCCATTTGAACACAACAGAAAAAACTACAGTCTTGAGGATCTTAGAGTACCAACTTTTCTGCCAATTTATACTTCTAAAATTCTTCATACCCTATTAGCATCATCCTTTACTGTAAATAGTGGAGTAGAATCCTAGCAAAGGTCAAAGTTTAACTTTTGTATTTAGTTGATGTAATCAACATCTGTATCATTCCACATGGGATTTCACAGAGATACTGAGAGAGACTACATACCATCCCTTGCAGATGAAGAGTCATTGTCGAGCTGTATGCAGCATATTCATTGAACACTTTTATCTGAATCTGCTCAGAAATTCAAAACATAAATTCAGGGATTTTGGAGGTCATGATTAGAAAAGATACGTATCTTTACCCTTCTTACTTACTCCACTTTTAAAGAGCTTTTTTCTCTTGACTGTCTTACTGGGACTAAACCATCTACCTGGGGCATGTTTTGTTGTTTCTTAGGGACTATGCGAAGATGGCTCATTTTTGTGCATTTTGCTCACAATATGCCTTCTGTAATGACAGAAGGTAATGTTATTCTAGAGTGAATACAGCTCATGGGAAATGAAGCATGCTTTGAAGGAAACAAGCTATTGGATGTATTTTGCACTTCCTGTGTATGTTATATGTAGGAGGAGCATTCTTGTACAGTGGAAACTAATGAAGAGGGAATTGACTGACTTCTCCTTCCACCAGTATGTTAATAATTGTCACTAGTTATTGTTAGTAGCATTCATGCAGACTTGGTCAGACAGATGAATCAGCATACTAAGTCTTGGAAAGTAATTTGAGAAATGAAGAAGGCATGTACGACATTTTAAGCTGAAGTTTTGCCTATTACCTATAAATGTGAAATTTGAGGACTTTGAAGTGGTTCCCCTTGGTTGAATTTGTGCTGTTTCCAGTTTGAGCTGGTAAATTTTGTACCATACTGATATGACAGAAATTGTTGTGAATGCTTTTACAGGCAAACAATTGTCTTTGTTTTAAATCTAGTTTGCCAATACTTACTGTATTTGTTTCCCCTTTAAATGAACTATTTTCACTTTTCTCAAAGAAGTACTAAATAGTCCAAACTCTCTCCCATTCAGAAGCTTCCTTGTTACTTTCTTTGGATTCTAGAAAACAGAAACTATGATTTTCTCCTTATTACCATCACTCCATCACTGAACATCTTCTGGTTTGTTTGTTTGTTTGTTTGTTTTCAGTCTCTTGTAGAAAACTTCTGTTTTTGTAATGTTACTAGCATGCCTGTCAGTGTTGTTTCTAGCAAGTTCTGATGATGAATCTTAAGATTTAATTTCCACATGAAAATGTTGTTGTGAACTAGTCCACAACTCATTAAGAGAAAGTCATTACTACTTCTGTGCAGAAATGACGCATACAGTTAACACATAATCAACCTCTATTCTTCCTTCCCCCTAACCTCAATTTCCATGCACATATTCAAGTTTGGACTTGTGAGAGTGAGAGTGCTCTTCTCTTGGAAATGAAACCTGATAAAACTGCAATATCTTGTAAAGGACTTAAAGAATTCTGTGTACTTTCTGCTTGTAGGCAGAAAAATTTCAAAGATCAGCAACAAGGAAATGATTTTCATTCTTTGTATTCTAAATGGACCTAAAAGCTAGTACTCCTTATCCTGAATTATGTACATTGAACACAACAGAAAGTTTTGCTTCCCATCCATTTTTATATACCCTGTTAAGTTCAGTTCTTGTATATTTTTGTTTCGCTTTTTATAATTGAGTATAATTTCACAAATAATTTGAACGGTAATCCTTAGATTTCCTCTAGGTCTTATGTCTTTTCCTTATTTCCAAACAGTGGAAAAAAAAAAAAAAAAGCCTGTTTTATCTCATTCTGACAATGTTCAGTCAGCTTCAATTAATTCTATTTAGGAAGCATGTAACTTGCAACAGGTGCTGCCAATGAGGCTGAGCTCACTCAAAAAGGATAAAAAAAGTTATTGGTGAATGCACTCTCAACTGATGATCTAACATTATCGTAGGTTTTTTACCTTTTCTTTGTTGTTGGTGATGGTCCATAATATATGAATTTTTGGTTTCTTTTTCAATTCATCTTTAAGTTCAGTTCCTATGATTCAGTTCAGCAAGCAAAATGACAGGACATTGCTGTGGATATTGTTATGAGAGATGATGCCACTATTATCTGACAGAAGTCAGCTACCAATATAGAAAAATATGGCTAGTTTGTGATGTCTTTTCTATGTTCCGTATTTTCTTGTACTGGGAGTCCCAGGTCTGGATTCTAGATGAAACTTCACAAAGGCAGAGTAGAAGGGGACAACCATCTCCCTCTCCCTACTGGCAGCCTCTCATATATAGCCCAGTATACAGTTGACCTTCCAGACTGTAAGAGCATACTGCAGGCTCATGTCCAGCTATTTGTTCTCTAGCATCCTCAAGTCCTCTGTAGGACAGCTCTCAAGGAGTTCTCCTGCCAGCCTGTAAACATATTTGGGATTGTCCCAACCCAAGAGCAACACCTTGCGCTTGCCCTTGTTGAACCTCATTTGATTCAGGTGGGCCCATTTTCAAGCCTGTTCAGGTCCCTTTTCATAGTTTTCCTCCCCTGTATTGTAACAGCTGCACCACTCAGTTCAGTTTCAAAACAAACTTGCTGAGGGCATGCTCAGTCCCACTGTGTCATTGATAAAGATATTAAAGAGTGCTGTTCTAAAGACATACCCAGGGGGACAGCATTTGTGACCAAAATCCACCTGGACACGAAGTCACTGACAACAAGCTACTGACTGTGACCATTCAACCAGCTATTTACCCACCGAATAGTCCACTCTTCAAATCCATCTTTTCAGTTTAGAGATAAAGATGTGGTGTGGGACCCTGTCAAAGACACTGAAGAAATCCAGTAGCCAAAATCAGTTACCCTTCCGTTGTTTACTGCTGTTACTCCTTTGAGTTTTTGGGGTTGTAGAAAACATTAATAAAATGCTAGAAACTTTAGTATTAACAGTATGTAGTAATCTAGGGGAGATCTTTTTGTATCTCATTAACTTTGATTTGATTTTGAACTCAAGATTAATTTAAAATACATAATCAGAAGACTCTGTCTAACATTCTTGAAGCTGGTCAGCCTTGATCTTGAGCTGTTTTTTTTCCTTTGGGCAACAAATTTGTCTGTTACCCATGGGTAATTTTGGAGCACACTAGTTACGTTCTGATCAAGTTAAAAAGAAGGATAGCTTTGTGAAAGAGGACCATAGGTTATCTTTTAGCATGTGATAATTTGATGTACATGCTTCACAGGGAGATTGGAAACAACAAGATTTCAGATCTCAAATTTTACAGTTAAATGGATGATGTATATCAGTCTCTAGCAACTTGTAAGAGCTGATAACATTATAGAACAACCTATGTGCTGACATTTACTGCTTGTTCTGAGGCAGTCAAGTGTTAACTATTCTTCTGCAAAAGAAAAAATAGAGATGAGGGCATCAGGGGACTGGAATTAGAATCCAAGCTGAATTCAGGCATAGATAATCTACTTGTACTTTCAGAGAAGTACAGATTAAAGGCAAAAAATGCGATCAAATCATTATCTTTGGAGATATGTTAAATCCTATTTTTTGTACTGTTATACAAACTGTCAATTAAATTTTGAAATGAAACCTGGAGAAATAAATGTCTAAACATATCAGTGTTGAGATTAGAGATGTAGTATTATAGAAAATGGACATGTGGTACTGGTCATAGTGGTATCCCTTGGAAATGCTCTTAAATTATCTTTGACAAAAATGACATAATGTTAACCATTGTGAAATAATGCAGAATCTGAAATGCTGATTCCTTTTCTACTTTTGATTTAGAATTTAATCAGAATTTTTAATGAGTATCGTGATGCTCACTGCGTAATTCAGAACTTTTTCTGAGCCATAATATCAATTGTGTCATTAAAAGCTTTAAAATCTTAAGTTATTCAGTATTACCATTATGGATAGGAATACACATGAACATACTCTGAATTATTTTTGGAAATATAAATGCAGGCTTTTGACTGTGGTCTGTGCCTTTTAGAAACTTAATTGCTAGTATATGTTTGCTTCTCCTTTTGAGACTGTTCTCTTTTTTTGAGAGCAAAAATACATACCTCTGTCCATCAATTCCTTCCTTTAAAGTACACAAAGTCATGGGACACTGGAACGAGCTCAAAATTACAACATTTTTCATGAAGCCTTTGCAGAAGTTTCGTTCTTGCATCAGTTGCTTATATATCAAAAACAGAAGAAAAAAAAAATCATATGCAGCATGTTTCTAAGCCATCTCTGTTTGTGTTGCTTTTCCATAGTAGTGATATGTAATTAACTGACAGCGGCACACAAACTGGAGAAATACACTAAGATAAAGAACTGTCCTTGTTTCTGCTTAGAAGGAAAGTCTTATGTGATGTCTTGTTCATAAAGTGTCACATAAATTTTTAATGGAAGAATTTCATGGTAGCTAAGAAAATTATATTTGTGTATATCCTAAATATGAACTACAATATGCATGAAATAAAATCAGGATAAATTTTGTTCAAGGCATGCAAAGCAGAATACTACTCTTTGTATTTAAATATTTTAAAAAGTAACAGATAAGCACATGCATAGAACAGTTTCAAAAATTATTTTTTGCTATTTGCATTTGTTGCATTATAACCTCAATCTAGAAAGGAGTATTTAAAAATCTGTTTTGTGGTTGTTTTTTGTTTTTGTTTTTTTTCCAGCCTGATGGTTTGCCACATTGGATTCTAAAGCTTACAGCAGTGCCATTTTACAGACCAGTTCCCTTAGATTATGTGAGTGCTACTGCTCTCATTTACTGTTCTAATGATTAGATCAGTATTTGGATATTGTAATTCTCTGCCACAGACTTTGCAGTAGAGCAATTCTTCTCTGGACCTGTTTTCCCCCTTCCATATTTTCATAGAATCGTAGAGTGGGTTGCATTGTAAGATACCACAAGAATCATCAAGTTCAAATACCCCTGTCAAAGGAAGGACCACCAATCTCCAGATCTGGTACCAGACCAGGTTGCCCGGAGTTGGAAGGGACCTCAAGGATCATGAATCTTCAACCTCCCTGCCACATGCAGGGCCACCAACCTCCCCATTTAATACTAGACCAGGCTGCCCAGGGTCCATCCAACCTGGCCTTGAACACCTCCAGGGATGGGGCATCCACAACCTTTCTGGGCAGCCTGTGCCAGCACCTCGCCTCTCTCTCTTTGAAGAACTTCCCCTGACATCCAATCTAGACCTTCCCTCCTTGAGCTTAAAATGATTCCCCCCTGTCCTATCACTTTCCTCTTTGGTTTTTTTTTTTTTTTCGTTTGTTTGTTTCTTGTCTTTATGCTATAAAGTGCCCCTCATTCTATACTTGATAATATCTTGAACAGCTGAGTTTTAAATTCAACAGTAATTCCCATCACGAAAAGTTAAATCTTGGGTCTGTTCAAGTTGTATTACAAAGTATTTTATTTGAATGGAATAGATCTTGTGCCACTGCTGCATGTGGGCCATTTGGAGATAAGGGACAGAAAGATTTTAACAAAATCCTAGCATATCTTGCTTTTGATCTTGATTAGTATACTTACACAATTATACTTAAACTGCTTATACATGTAAATCTTTAACTAAACTAGCACATTTTAGGTGTTTCTTCTCCTTCTAACTTATCCTCTGGCTTTGTAGTATGGATTATCTTAGTGTTGCTTGTGTGAGGTGGACTTTGGTTAGCAAGGAGACCCGCTGTGTTTGAATACCAAATTTTCCATGAGTTTAGGAAGAATAAATGTTGGCTCAGTAATATTAGAAAATTATATAGGGGCTCTATTATATAGTTTTTTTCTATGGCTAAATTTGTATCTTCTTTCTTTATTGTAACCCTACTCACCTGATTAAAAAAAATAATCCTTTAAAATTTAGATTTCTTTTTCAATGATAAAAGGTAGAAACTTTCCCTGTAACATAAATGAAGATAGGTATCAATGATTTGTGGTGTTTTCCAAAGTATTTTTGATTCACCAGGATGGACAATAACAATAATTATCCTTTTTTTTTTTTTCTTCTTCTGGTAAATAAAGTAAATTAAATCATAAATATAATTTTTTTTATCCTTCAGGAATCTGCTTTGTGATTCTGTTGTTCATATGACTTATCACAGCAAGGTCAGAGAGGAGACTGTGTATCCCTCCAGGCATTTTATCTCATTTTAGGAATGGAAGCTGATAATAAATCATCTAGAGACACTTTTATGCCCATTTTCTCATTAAGGTACTGTTCTGCCAACTAGCCCATTTTTTAATAGCCGGTCATTTATATATTTTTAAGCATGTTCTAAAATATTTTTCTTCCTTGAGCTCAGGGTCAGAGTCCATGAAATGCACCTGCTATCACTGACTGGTGTGCTGCTGCTTCATCTGGAAGATAACTGGACTTCAGGATAATTTACTGTTATCATTTGATGTACTCTTACAGTAGTGTTGCTCCTGTATCTTTGCATGTTTTAGTTTCAGCTTTTGAAGCTCTGCCCATACAGCTGTTTGAATAGTGCTGTGTTTAATATGGACCATACAGAAGTGGTTCAGCTTCCTGTATTCTACAGTCTCTTTATTCCTACTTATGTGTAATAAGTGTAGTTAACAAATTGTTTTTCCTTTTTTTTTTTTTTTTTTTTTTTTTTAAATTTTTTTTAAATTTTTTCCAGCTTTATTGATAGAATTTGTTGGGAAGAGTGCATAAAGTAGATGACTTTATGTCTACAGACTAAGTTCTTTGCATCATGAATGAATTAAAATAAAAATCAGATTTAATCAAGTCTCATGAATGAATAATCAGGTTGTACATTAGATCTTAATTACTTTTTCTAAAATATAACAAAATGATTTGAAATCATGTTGCAGTGATGTGCAGCACTTATATTAACATTACTTAGACTACTCTTATTACTACTCTTAATTTCTTTTATTATTTCATATCTTTTGTACTTCGGTGTTTACATATAAATTTGTTAGCAGAATTGCTAACCAGCAAAACTAGCACTGGTGCTGGTGCTTTCATCAATACATCTATCAAAAACAATAAGGAAACCCAGAGACGTCACTTGATTTAGTTATCATATATATATATAATATATATATAATATATATTTAGCTATGATATCATATATATATATATCTTATAGATATATTTAGTTTTATTTATATATATTTGTATATATTTAGTATATATGCATACACTTCTCCAGGCAAAGATTGCTAATGGCATAATGTCGCGGTTTTGGTGTGGGTGCTTAGAAACAAAAGTTAGGGTCATATAACATTTCCACCACAGCTATTTCCCTCAAATACTGGATACCGTTTTCAACTGTATCCTGCCTTTCCATCACAGGCTTCAAGCATCTTTGAAGGGATACTTTTCCTTCACAGCTATTAATATTCATTCCCAGAGGGTGGCAGCCCCATCCAAACTAATCCCTCTGTCAATAGCTGGATCTCTGGCAATGCCTCCTAGTTGCTGAGCTTCATTACCATCTAGAGACAAGCTACTGGCCCCGCTGTCCCAGCAGCGAAGCAACCAGGAAACGAGAGTTTCATTCGGGTGCAGTGTAAACTCCTTTCTTGAGCCTTGGATTTCAGTCATCTTTAGAGGCCAATGAGTAGTAATAGAGATTTCCTCTTCATCATCTCTTCTGCATATCTCTTAGTTTTTTCTTTTCCCTTCCCCAATGATGGTAGTTTTGAGGAGGGCCCTTCACTGGATTTTCCTCTACTTCCTCCTCTGCATCTTTTTTCTGTTCTAGATGCAAGGACACTCATTTCCATTTCTTGCCTTTCACTGATATTGTTAATGGTGTCTCCTCTTATTTGACTTGGAGATTTTCCCCTTTGGCTTGAACCTCAGATTGGAAACTCTTTCTCTCCAGAATATTATTATATAGGGCACGGTAAGCACAAGCCAAACCCCAAGTAAGTTGTACCTCCTTAGATCTATGTAAGCTGCACCATCCCTGACTCAAATACTGGCTTAGTTTCTTGGGATCCCACAGGTGTTCAAGAGTAAAATCCCATGACATTGAGGGTCCCCGTGGTTCTAGGATTTTTCCTAAACCTCTCCATGTTCTCTGCCAGTCAGCATTCTCTAGTTTTGGAGGAGACTCCTTCCACATACCGTGAATGCATAGGAATACATTCAGGGAGATTGATAACATGCACAGGGGTATGCTCACAGACATGAACATTAACTCAGTATTTGAAAAATTGGTGACAAACTGAGAACAAAACCTGGAAACTGGTCTGAACATCACATTGTAAAATTAGCTATTCTATTTGGGTTGTAAGTGTCAAAATTCAGATCATACCACATTGCATGTAAGTACCATGCAGGTGTCTCCATCAGAGCCCTTATTTGGTTATGTATGAAAACAATTCCACAACAAGAAATCATAACATTGATAATTGGCTAATAAGTTGTGAGAAGCATGATGGCTTTTAATCCCTTACACAGCGCCCCCCTTGATAAAGAGTGAATTCATCACTGATAGCTGCTAAAGAGAGGTCAGTGAATGGAAGCTAATGAGAGGAGGAAAAAAAATAAAAATAAAAAATGGAAAAGCACTGCCCAGACAAACTATTGCTCAAAGTTTACAAATATCCCAGAATACTTGTAGCACGCCTGGCCTTTCATGATCAAGTTTCTCAGCACAGAATACTGAACTGCTGATAAAATTCCCTAATGAAGCTCTCCAAGAACAGAGAAAGAGATTCATTCTAAAAGCTAAAAAACAGTTAATGCCTACGTTCTCCACCAAAAAATTGTCATAGAGTTAACAATCTGTGCTGTGACAGGATAAGCAGGAGGAAGATATGAATGTTTTTGTTTTTTTTCCATTTCTTTTTCCCAAAACTGTTTACTGAACACCTGTAACATTCTGTCTGAGAAAAGAAATACAGAAACTCTTAGTGAAATATGAAGTGAGTCTAGAGAGTGCCCATCCTATCCAAATCACTGAAGACTTTTGGAAACTGTTTTTTCCCAGTGACTTTTTCCATTAACCATTAAAAAAGTCAGTGCTTTAACTTTGCATTTTTTGCAGAGTTTTTATTCCTAGTTTTCTTATAATAGGTCTTTTGATGAGAAAGACCAATTAGGTCTTTCTATGGTGATGAACTTTTCTTCTCTAAGATTCTTCACTCTAATTTGCATTAGACTAGTCCAATTTGTACCAAACTGAAGTATTTTATTTAACAGATTTACTCCTGATCTTTATTAGTAAGAAAATTATGCAACATCTGATATGCTTGTTTTTTTGTTTGTTTTGTTGTTGTTGTTTTCTGGATATATTCTGGGAAAAGAAGGAACAGACTTTTGAAATGTCTTACCCATTTCTGTTTATTTACATTTACTTCTTATTTGATTTACTTCTTATGGGACAGAATCAAAAATTCCAGCCTCTTCGATGAATAGAACTAGCCTGAGGTTTCTGCCACATATTGCCCTCATTTTTTTAATCTGTGCACTATGAAATCAAACTTACGACACAATCTATCAATGTTAGTTAATTTTACTAAAACATTTATTTTACAGTTTACAGTTCCATTACGTGGAACATACGGTTAAACTCAAGAACATACAAACAAACAAACAAAAAAACCTCAACAAAACAAAAATGGAGAGGTACTTGAACCTAGATCTTCTAAAACTTGAGTTTTAACCTCCAAAATAATTTATCTGCATGTATCCAACAGCTGACTTTCTCGGCCTACCTAAAAGTAGTATATATTTTCCAAACCTTGAAAGGCAATGAATGTTGCCAAGGTAATATTGCTCAAGGTAAGAAGTCTGAATCCAAAAGACTTACGTATTTTATGGTATCCTTTTGTAAATTATAGATGACAGGGAAAAAAATCCTGTTCGCAACAGAACTCTTCAGAATTAATATTTCCTTCTGCAAGGATTTGTTCTGATTTTTGTGACTTCGTGGATTATCTATCTATTCTATTTATTATAATCTATACTTCTATTTATTAGCTTTTCCCAATTTATGTGTATTTCCTATTTTTAGTGGTTCTTTGTAATGACAACCCAATTGATCTAAAAGGATAATATTGAGTTGCATAATGTTTTCAGTGTATTTTAGAGTGTTATTTCATTCCAAGGATATAAAAATGTTTATACCTTAGAAAACATTATTTCTTGGCACTTTGTTATTGCATTTAATTTATTAATGTTTTGGGGTTTTGTTTGTTCTGTTGTGGATTTTTTCATTCCTCATTTATAGTAGAGATTTCTGCTTTAGAATTATTACATGCATTTTTTATTGCATTCTATTTTTATGATATTCTTCATAGAATATTAGATGCTGTATTCTTAATTGCTAAGAGAGCTTTAGATCATGCTGTTGTAGCTTTCCAATCTCAAGTTTTGGAGATTATTTTATGTGGATCTACTTATTGTAGAGCCAATGTTTCTTTGCCCTCTGTAGCATAACAATTTAAATATAAAACTGCTGTAAGTTCATACTGTTCCTACTTTTGCATTTCAGACTTCCAAGTTCAGTATCCATTCTGTACAATACATATTGATTATCCATATTTTCTGCTTTTCTTTGGGCAAGAAAGCAGTGTTTCCAAAAAACCTGGATTTTAGTCTCATTATTCAAACACATCAATTCAGTATTTCACTGATAAATTACTTTCGTTTTTGTCTCTCTTATGAGCATGAAGTGTTTCTAAGCACTTTGAGAGCCTTGTCTATTTTAAGTATAATGCTTTATGACTGTAGATGTTTTAGTTGCACATCACTTTGCTTGAACCTCTGTATTTTGCTATTGTCACTAAAATAGACTTGGTTATTGGTATTTTCTTTTTCTGGAGAGACTATTTCATCACATATTCAAAATTCTATTGGGCTTTTATAATAAACTAATTGGATCCAAAGTACTTTTGAACACCCTAGAACTAAAAGTCTGTTCTAAGATCGTGGTTCAACAGTAATCTAGTACATGAGGATGCAAAAAATACCAATTTATGTCTTCTCAGCCTTTTACCTTGGCTTTGTTCTCGAACATATGCATGTTCTCCTTTCAGAAACCATACGTGTGAGCATGCATTTGTTCTCGTCTTTTGACAGTGAGAAGAAAACTGATTCCTACATTTTACTTATATATCCATATTTTTCACTGGTATTTCTTTTCTGTATCTTCATGGTAGTAACAAAATTGTTCTTTATGGTAGAAAAGGTAACATGAAATAATGTCTGCACTGAAGTTAACCTCTTTTTGTGTGTGTGTATAAATCTATAAAATAATAGAACTTGATGACTTTTTATTCTTATTTTTATTTTTTATTCTCAGCAGGAAACCTAAGGCTAGTATCTTATCCCAAATACAATCTATCATATTACATATTTATTGAGTATAAGTATTTCTGATTTTATTTTTCACATATACTGTAACTGTTATGTTATGTGACTACTGTGTTTTATCTGTTTTTCAATCCTGCTGTGGCTAATAATGGCATAGGTCTTGATCCTCCTACTTAAACTCAGACAGAAGAGAAGAAAAAATTATCGTAATGTTTGATTAAATGTTATATATTTAATAATCTTCATTATAAACTGGTAATCTTTTGGTAATCTTTTCCTTCTCCTATTAATTATCAAGAGA